TAACTGCGGGGTTCTTTCTATCTCCCACTCTCTTCCTTCTCTTCATCACCGACCTGTTTTCTCAAGCTCTTAATTTCATTCCGATAACGATGATACCGACCCACACTGTTCTCTTTCTTACGACATTTCCCCGGTCTACCTCTACCATCATCATTTGCCATCCATTGTATGCGTGTGCTTCACTCGATTCATTCCTGAGTGCCATCACTGCTTGGGGGACTGACAATTAATCGTTTTCATTACTACGATAATTTTCGGTATGTTAGTATCCCACAAAACAATACTTGTGCATCTGCATCTTGATTCTCATTCAGTTCATTCTACATCTTCAAGTCTTCATGGCATCCAATCTTTTTCTTCCACATCTTGTGGGACTTGCATTGCGTACATTTACAAGGATTTTCTACCGTTTCTGTACAAAGTGGTTTCTGACCTCTCACAAATTCTCACTCCTAATAAGTCCCAACTATGTCCCATTATGGAGTATTGTAGTTATGTCTGGGGAGGAAACTCCTTTTCTTCTTTAGTATTTTGAATATGGTGCAGTGTGAAGTCATTCCCCCTTCTAAAACATCCACCTTTGAACAAGTTGCTCATTACCGTGCAGTCACCTTTTCCTTTTTTGCTACCGTCACGATTATGGGGTTTGATCTACGGAGCTTACGGATTCGGTCCACTCCCCACTTTCATTCGCCCGCCAGACCCAGCCGGAAGCGTCAAGTCACCCGTACAGCTGAATCTGATAACCATTGAGACGATGGCATTTAAATTCTCATTCTTCATTTAATGACTGTGTTGTGCACTATCCTTCTTTACTATGTTTTTCCGTATAATTTTGATATGATCGCATAAATTTTGCTTTGCATAAATTTCCCTCAATCCCCTGAGTACAGTAGTTTGCAGGACTTTAGGCTTTACCCCTACACTGCACTTTATGCTCACTATGTAATCAAAAAGTCGCTACAGAGGAGTAGAACAATCGCTGATAAATATTACCAAAATATTCTCCAGTCTGCTAGGCCCGAAGAGAATTTAAAACTTATTTCTCCGCCTTAACATTAACATCAAAACTTCAGGAATTGTCGAGACTCGGAGCAAAGAGTCTAGCCTTGAATGACGATTCGTGAAACGTGAATTTTCTGACAAAAAACTGCAAAGAGATTTGCTCCTTGGTTAGGGGAAAACTTTGTGATCAAGTTAATGAAATAAAGAGGAAGATGAAGCGGATTAACCCGAGCCTACTCATCACTTTATCTTCTATCCAATCGTCTTGTAGGTGATTATGCGTTCATTTTAAAGAGTCTAGGTATGCAACCGGTTGAGTAAAACACTGTATGTCGGCTTCTAGGTTATCCATGTGACTTATCACGCCAAAATATGACAACAAAAAAGAAAATTCAATTCATGGGTGTCCGTTATTCAATAGCTCCACAAACTGTATCACTCTATGTACTGTAGAGTCAACAACTAGAATATTTTGTACACTAAATTGTTCATAAGTTCATAAAAACACTGGTCAATGCAGATCGATTGGTAGGTGTTTTGAAGAAATCACTCGCAAAAAATTTTCTCGATCATTCACTTGGTGCTCTTGATTAATTTTTTTTAAAATGACGTGTTCATTTTGAATTGTTCTGCTGCAATGCATTCGTTGCACATTTTTATTGATACTGATGATTTGATTTGCATTTGTTATTATCGTTATGATAATCTAACCTTACGCAAGTTACTTTGTTAATACAGTACAAAAAATGTAGTTTCCGTCCATTGATTCCACCGGCGTTATTTTTACCTGTTCCCTAAATTGGTCAACTTGTTTCCAAACGCCTCATCATCCGAGGTATTTTCAGTGTGCTGTGCTGAGGACGGTCACAGTTTTTTTTCCGAAGGAGCTAAGGAACAGCAAAACAGCATTCGACGAGCCGGACACAAGGTTGTGATGGACCACAAATTTGAAAAATGAAAACAAAATCAGTCCACAACACAATAGCTGTCTCGTAAACAACAAGAAGGAACTTTTCGGTGTAAACCCTATATTTCTGTTTCCATGCGCTCTTACGATTTCAAATTTCCGAAATTGATTGGAGGCAACAATGCCATACAGTTTTTGAGATTGAAGTTTTGATTGGACTGCTATCCACTTCCTGAAAATTTTATAAAAACTAAGCCATTTTGACACTGTCTCAGCTTTGTTCTTCTTTCTCAATGCATCCTAGCTTGTCGGAGGAACAATTGCCTCGTATTTTATCGGACTGGAGACGGTGTATAATGTCCGTATTGTTGGTACCATACCCAGTGGGTGAGTTCATTTTTATTTCGTTTATCTAAGTTCTGTGTTGTTCAGAGGTTGAGCACGGTACAAAATAGTGTGTTTGTAGCTACCAATGACTATTTTCAGATANTTTCAGATATTGAAAGTGGTTTAAAGACATGCAGTTTGCAGAAACGTCCTGGTCGATCTCATATCACCGTGGTCTCTTCCTGCACGATATCACTTTGAGAATAAATCGCAGATGTTGCACGCTGCTATCACCACATTCATCAGTAGATGATTTCCGTCAGGGAGCCGAAGTTATCGATGATCCAACAATTTTACTTCTATAAGGTACAGTGATAGTTTGTAGTTATTTACCTGTGTGACACCATGAATCAATCTGCATGACGTGTGCTCCAGTCAAATCAGTGCACCGCAGTACATTTATGAGGCAAAATGCATTGCGCAGGATGTAATAAGTCGCTAGTGTGGGGAAACAGAAACCAGTGCATTAATATGCTGCAGGTAGCATCTAGCTATGTAAAATGACTGTACTTATAGTCACAGATCCAGCTCGTGCTCATTTACCCTTATAGTGCTGCTATCCCGCATACAGCGGACAGAAGTGCACGCAAACCGAATGCGTACTATCGCGGTGGGCGAACCGAATTCACATGGAAAACTTGTTTCTGTGTACCTGCACCTCCGAAACCTTTATTAATAAACGTACATTGAAAAATAATCTAACATGCCGAAAGATCTTCATGGGGTAAATCATGGACTATGAGAAAAAATAAAATGCGAAAAAGGTAAAAGTAATATTTTCAACTTTATGATGATGACGTATCCCAGAAACGAATGTTCTGTTTTAAAAAGAAAAACAACTATCTTATTTCGTATAGATTCGTACTTGCGGCTCTAGTTACGAGCATTTTGGTGGTAGACAGCTCTGCTGTCGTTAAGTTTAATACCACGGCTAACCTATCAGAGTCTTATGTGGTTCGCCATTCCGAATCCCGGGGATTAGATTGGCGGTTTCCATCACTGAACAGCAGGTCCTCGTGACTATGGGGTTTACCCCGTCTGCTGTTCATCACACTTAGTTGTTTAATAAATAAATTATTGTTAAGTCACAATGATATATTTCCACTTCCATTTTTTCTACTTTCCATTTAAATTGGTTCGGTTATACGGTTTTATTTTTTGTATCTATGCCAGGTCGTCCAGATTATGGGAGTATAATTTGAACTACTTGTTTACAGTGTTGAACGGGGAGAAGAACCCAAATAACGGATTACTGGATTTCAGTTTCCTTCTATTCTTTTACGCCCACTATTCCATTTACGAGTGATCAGTCAGGCGTCATCGTCTTTTAAAACGTTAACGCATGTGCTTTCCAAAGTATTTAAAATCCGTTTTCGTTGCTCGGGTGAACTGATTTTTATCTTTCTGTTCGCCCAGCTTGGGAATTTGTTTGCAAACATTTCATCATCAGCCGAAGTAACATCAACAGTGTTTGTGAAGTGGCGACTTTTCGCTAAAGTTACCGCTGCAGACGAAACGAGCCTTGACCCGTTTCGGGTGTACTAGTTTCTGTTCATTATAGGCTTATTGGAACAATTTTTTCCTTCATTCCTCGTCTTCGCCTACACAATAGTTTGCACATTGCCCATTTATTGGTTGTGTTCTGTGCTGGACCACCTTGAGACAAGTGTTGGTATTTTCACCGTAGAGCTCTGCAGATGCAGATATTAGCTAACCTCAGTTATCATTTTTAGAACAGGTGGGACGACCATTCTATGGATTAGATTGTGCACTGATATACTGTATGTCCTCAATCCTGAAAACATATTGTAGTATATATTCCTATATAACACCGGCTCAAGAACAAGCTTGGTGCCAACGCCACAACAATATAAACGATCACAATAACGTGGGGTAGGGGGGCCTTGTGGTTTGAGGTTCGAACCCCGCCACCCAAATTTGTTGATAGGCGGCTTTGCTGTCGTCCGGTTCAGTACCACGCCTGACCTAGCGGGGTATTATGTGGTTCGCCACTTCAAGTCCCGGGACTTTGGTTGCTGGCTTACAGAACTGAGTAGTAGTTCTACGTGATTATGGGGTTCATCCGTTTGATGTGTGTAATAAAAAACTGATGTTTGGTATGTGCTACATCATTGGTTGATTGGGTTAAACCATCGAGTAGTCCACTTGCTAGAAAACTGAGTGCATGACTTAAGATGAAACAGTCCCAATGATAAAAATAGCAAACGTGCCCAACTGTACGGGACAAGAGATTTTGAGGAATTCATGAAATGCCCTGGAAACACGTTAACATCAACTGGAATCATGATCGATCACAAAGAACTACGTTTTTAGTGTTCCGTCATCATCATCATCGCGCGATGTACCCGATGTTACCAGAACATCGGGTAGAAGTAAAAATTCGAATGAAAATAATAACCACATTGGATGGAGATGTTACTGTGGTTATTGCTATGCCTGGATTGGGTGTGCCTGCACGAATGAGTAATTACCGGATTAATGGCCAAAGATCGCGTCATCTGATTGTAAATGGAGTCTGACATTTTACGAACTGTCTCTGGTTGCGTAAAGGCAGGTTGTGAAGGCGGTCCTTAATTGCCTCGGCCGTTGATATTATTCGCCAACGGAAAGTGTCACGTGCCATAAATTTTTTTGAAGTGGCCGTCATAGAGCACCATCCGAAGAATATATTTCACTAAACTAACCATATTCAGTTTGTATTTAATTTAGGGAGGGGATAAAATAAAAGGTCCGCAAATTACCTCCGCCTGATAGATGTGTGGAGTTGCTTACTATGGTGCTCATTAAAGACAAACTTACAGAGCTGAGGTATATCATAACTCACAGGTTATTTTTTACACCATAGATTCATTGTTCTTAACCCGCCTTGGTTATTTTGACACTGTATCTGTAAACACTGGTATACATATCACATGGTTGTGCAAATACAGTTGAGTGACGCTTTTCATCCACGGGTATTCAAAATGGTGTCCCTTTATGGAAAACTAGTTTCAAAGAAGCCGCATTTGGTTTACGAACCGAATGGAGCGTAAGAAAGTTCCGTATTGTCATCACCATATCTCTCATTAAAATCATCGATAAAGCGAATAATTTTCTACTCAGTTTCATGATCGGCCTTATATTTTGAAAATAACCAATTGTGGCACCCATTTTCATGAAAGGAACGTTTTCCTTCACTTCTTTGACTTCATTTTCACTAAAGTCATTTGTGTACAATGACCCCCAAAGGGCATTGTTCCTCCTTTTGGGGACTCGTTGATGTGGTGTGATGGTTTGTGCACCTCTATGATCTAACAAATTGCTGGGACTAAATTTTATCGAGCAGATCTAATCATTGATGAGCGGTCGGAAATTAGAGTTCAGACAAAGTCCAGCCTCTTGGTTCTCCAGATTGAAAGGCCTCTATTCTGTCCCACCTACTGCCTTGCGGTTAGGCTTTTTGAAAACTAAGGACTTTGACCGAGAATCCTCATCTTTATCCTAATTAGTGGTTAGAATCTTTAGCAATTCTCGTCCACCAAGCTCCCAGGTACACAAACGATATAGAATTGCGTGCTGCATTGGGCGTGTCGCCTATGACCGTACTGATTATTGCTTGGTTCGGGTTGGATAGTTATAAGCGGAATACTCCTCAGATATCTCCATCTTTGTCTTTTGTCTTGAACTCCATCATCAGTAGCACTCTCCTAAGCAGCTTTTGATTGCTCGTGAAAACCGTATCCAAAAAACTTTCAGTATAGCCTGCCGTTGCACAATTTGCGAGTTCTGAATTTTCGTCAACTTGTTAATCTGGGGACCTTCAACGTGAGGTCTCTTGCAACCGAGTCAACACGTTGGTTGCGGGTTTTGACTCTAGTAGTCGGTGTTGGTAGGTGATTAGAGATAAGAATTCAAGACCCCAGTGTCATAAGCCAACTTACGACCCCGCGTTAGTCTTAGAGATGTTTCTTGTGCACTTCAACAGATGATGATATTCGTTCATGGGGTCCATATCTAATAGGTATTTTACTTTGTGACAATGCTGCAAGCTCGCTTGTCGATTGGATTTCCGTCAACAGTCGCTTGTATGCGATTCGGCTCTAGGAGTTATTTAAGAGAAGAAGCAACGCTTGAAAATGTTTGTTCGTCATCTCCATGTGCGCTCCCGCTCACTGCATTCATGATGCATGAAAAGACAAGTTTTGCGGTAAAATTTCTAGAGGTCAAAGATAAAGTAATACTATAAGCTCAACTCATTCGGCAACGAACGTTGCCCTTGAACCGGAGAATGAGATATGTCCAAGACAGTGAATCTCACAGGAACCAGCAGCCCCGAAGACTTGAACCTGTCAGAATCGAAACAGCAATAAGTGACGTCTAAAATGTCAACTCACGGAAAGTCTGAAGCAGGAACACGAAAATTGATGAATAAACAAGGTTTATTTGAATTAACCACTGTTTAAGTAAATAGTCAATGACTGTTTCACTGCGCCGGAGGTCGCTGTACCTCAGTCAGCGAAACAATAAAAGATAAAAGTATACAAGCCATTCACTACGGGAGGCAGAGTATGTAAGGGAAGAATTTAGCTGATTGTTACGGTTCCGGCTTAAGCTCCATGTGGAGTGCCATGCGACGCTTCAACAAAATTGGGAGTGTGGATTTGTATTCAAGCAAACTGAACCTGAATGGCATTCAATTCCTTCATGTTATACTTTTGAATGGCAATGCGAGATTAGTCTGTGCGATCTTACCAACGCCAAGCAGTTTCTCTGTGATGGTCTTGAATTTCAATGAACTAATCCAACAATAACGTCCTCAATCTGCAGAAGGTAGTTGTTTATGTCTATTTACTAGGCAACACGCCTTTTTCTTTCAGCGTAGTTGAACGAGGCTCGGATGGTGATTGAGTTGTCTCAAAAGTATTAGGACCACACCAATAACGTCAGACTACCTATAAATTTCGTTTCTAATGCATAGGCTATTTTTGATGGACCTCATT